ATCATCCTACCCACTGGAATGTGTGCTTTTGTATTACTTACCGATGATATTGACTTCAATTTCTATTCTAGTAAATGTTTATAGATACAACCCACATAAATAACAATTCTTTGGGGGTCTTCAGTTCCTTTCAAGATTACAAAGTTTTATGAGATAAAAACATATGCTCAAGCCAGGTGTGTTGGTACATGCCTTTAATCCCAGCACTATCGAGGCAGAGGCAGATAGATCTCTAAGTTCAATGCTAGCCTGGTCTAAAGAGCAGGTTCCAGGACATCCAGGGCTAGGTGGAGAAACCCTAAGAAACAAACAAAAAAGTTTTAAAAAATGAATAAAAAGAAAGAAAATTTATGCTTGAATACAACCACCATGTATAACCAGGTTTTTGCTGGAAGAGAAAGGTGAGGCATGCTTGTTTTTACTGCCATGCTGGGGCTGAACCCATGGTCTTGGATTTCTAGGCTACCCTACCCCAGAGGATGCATTCTTATCCACAAAGTGAAGATTACATTTTATTTTATTTTTAAAAACCTTTATTAACAGGTACTTGGAATTGATTGACTGTTTTGAAAAATCAAGTTGTAAATTTTATTACAAATTAAAAATGAAGTACTTAAAATCTCTCAACTTCACCAGACTTGAAACAATTTTAAAGCCTTTAAATGTATTTGAGAAAAAGTTGGCTTTTTTCAAAACAAGCAAACAAATATGTTTGTCATTACTAAAAAGGAGACATCTTTAGGTAAGAATAACAAAAACACTCGTGTGGAATAAACAAGGCAGATAGTTCTAATGTATCTGATAAACCAACAAAACATAAGCACTTAAGGTCTTCAGCTCCAGTCTCCATTCATTTCTTGTTGCTGGAATTTTATATTCATTTCTTCTTGTTGGATGACTCTAGTCATATCATAATACCTCTTCCAGCTGCTACCCTTGATTCTCACCTCAGATCCCAGCCAAGAGGCTCACTGTTAGTTTAGCAACCCAGATGATATCCACAGGGCAAGTGAGATATCCAATGAAAGTGAGAAAAACACATGTGAGAAATTTCCTGTGTGTCAGGGATGGTCGAGGAAGACAAAACATAACAATGTTTTGTCACCTCTTGACATTTCTTAGCCCAATGCTGAAGCTCACACTAGATGCTGTGGGAAACAGAGCATATCACAGGGTGGCTTGAGAGCCAGGGGATCCACAAATGGAGGTCACAGATAAAACTGGAACTACAAGCTGGGAGGAGCCACAGCTGTGTTTACTATATAAACATTTACTATAATAGAAATTGAAGTCAGTATCATCGGTAAGTAATACAAAAGCACACATTCCAGTGGGTAGGAAGCTGTCATCACTTAACATTCAGAAAACTCTTGAGCCTACATGTATCGTGCAGGGAGAGTGAGGAAGAGTCGGAAAGTCAAGTGAAGGCACCTTAGCAGCTGTGGGGCTTCGGGACCTTTTGGCCCACTCGTACACAGTCTACTCTACTCAGCATTCCCCCTGAGCTGGGACTGAGATGAAGAAGCTCCAGTAGGACAAGCCCATGGGCAGCTAGCTTGGCTCAGCTGCCCCTGGAATAAATAAGGCTCTGGGCAGGCCTGGGACGGTGGCTGGAGCTTTAGCATCCCAGTGTGCAGGTGAGTGGCAATCCTGACCATCTTGCAGTTCATGTTAGGCGGCTAGAAAGGACTGAAGGTGTCCTAACTCTTGCTTAAAGTAGTGTTTGGGATTCAAGGCAATTTAATTAATTGTTGGAATAGTAAGCTGAAAAAATTTTTTAAGTACACTTATCAAGTAATTCAAGACCCCAACCATTTCTGTAAAAGGTCCAAGTATGAAAGTTGGGGAGCAAGCCACAGGAATACCTGGAGGATGAATGTTCCAAGTAGGGATGATGAGGGAAGCATGAGTGGGTGTGAAAACAAAGAGGCTGGCATGCCCGGAAACTGGAAGTAACTGAGAGGAGAGGGAACCTAGTGAGTTATTTGGTCACTGTCAGATCCAAAGGAAACTCCAATTTCCCAAACCCCAAAGGGCAGTCCAAATACCCAGAAATGAGCTCAGCCTGGATACAGGAGGGTTTCTGTTGGCTAGGTAAAAGCCAGCCTTCCTCAGGAACTGGTGAAACTGGTTCCCATGTGCCAAAAGGAGTCATTTCCCTTACCTTCTGCGTGCTGGCTGCCAAGCTACATTTCAAAGCCCCCACAGCAGCCTCCTTCCCCCCCCCCCCCCCCGGCTGCTCACCCTTCTTATATATAACCTTGCTTCTCTCACCATATTCTCTCTCTCCTCTGTCTCCTGCTGGTCTCCCCTCCTCTCACAGATAGCCCTGGCCATGTTCTGTCTACTTCCTTCTTTCAGGACTCTTCCAGATGCCTCTGGCAGTTCTCCCTCTTGTAGCTATAATAAAAATCCTTCCTTTTTCACACGGTGGAGCGGTCATGTTGGCAGTTTCTTTCCTGACGTATGTGCTGCTGTAGAGACCAGCTTCCAACAAACAGCTCAGGAGCTGAAGAGGAGGCATGGAGTTGGCGAATCATCTCTCAGTTGACTTTTTCATCTGAGGGAGTAAGATTTAATTCTCTGGGGCCAGTGATCAGGGCAAAACTTTAATTCTCTGGGGCTGACAAAGAGAGAGAGAGAGAGAGAGAGAGAGAGAGAGAGAGAGAGAGAGAGAGAGAGAGAGAGAGAGATCTTCAACATGTCAGGGGCTATCTTCTTTATTTCTTTCCTTACCTCTTTTCTGGTTCTGTATTACTTTATTTTTTTCCCTTACAGCTTATATACCCCAGCAAAATCTTTCAAGCAGTAAAAAATTACAATGTGGTTACATTCTATTTTTCAACTGAATGATTACAATGAATACAAGCAAAAAACACCATGTCCCTTACATGACTAAACATTTTACCCATTATAGGTGATAAACTGTTTTTTTCCCAAGGACCCACATACATTCATACCCAAGCAACTTGTTATAGATTAACAAAGTGTAAGCAAGCAAGATATTTTTTTCAGCCAGTTCTCTTACTGGCAGGCTGCATTTATGGATACAAAGAAAGGATCAATCATTTTATTATTTGCCTCAAAAGGTAATCTTATAAAAAATCTTAAAAGAATGACAAATCTAAACTTTTATATATGAAAAACAATTAGTCATTTCCACTTTAAATCCTCAGGGTACATACCCACTCATCAACAGCTTTTTTTTTTTTTTATTTATTTACAGCTTATCAGGAAGCTGAGGGCAGAAATGGGTACAAGGAATTAATCATCACTTTTGATCACCAACCTGTCCTAGCAAGAAAGATAAATCAGCCAGCAATAGCCAGGCTTCCACTGTTGTTTTTGTTTTGTTTTGTTTTTTCCCTGACTTCATGTGTGCCTTTATAAACTTTAAATTGTTCCCCAAGATTTTATATAACCATTAACAAAGCCATTAACGAAAACATCTTAACCCAACTTTACTGGCAATCTACGTGTCTAAATTCTTTCTAAGGGTGGTGGCTGAATCATTAATCTGCTCCAGCAGCATTGCTTGGAAAAAGCCAATCACTATTATTCTAAGTAACAACAGTAAAACTGCCCGGTGAGGGGCTAGAAGCGGAGAGTTTTCATACAATTCATAGATGATGAGGAACGTGGTGACCATGAAGGCAACAGTCAGAGCTATGCTCAGTAACAACATGAGGTCCTCTGGACACCAGTCCTCAGGGCTTTGCCTCTCCAAACACAAAGTATGTGTTTGTGCTGGACCATACTCCTGAGTTCCAAAGCTGCTTGCTGTTCCTCTTGAGTGGCCCCAGAAACTACTTTGTGTTAGGCATTCATCTCAGTACCCACTAGCCATTTGTCTCTGGCTCAGTATCCCTGGGAAATAATTTTCCAGCAACCCTGACTCCTTGACCCTCCCTCAGAAATGTGCAGCTATGGTCATCTGCTTGTTATGTTGTGACTAACTGCTAATTTTGGCTTTTGTAACCTACTTATGCAGACATTCCAGGACTATTTTGAGGTTGCCTTGACTGCCTAATCTTGGCAGAGCAGAATAGGCTTCTATAGCTTGCTTTTGCAGACATTCAAGGACTCCTTATGGTTTTCACCTGTAAAAACGATCTGCCTTGGCACAGCATGTCTCTAGTTTGGCTCAGAGAATGCAGCCCTGAGCAACTTCAATAGATTTGGCTAATTATAATGTGACTTAAGTCTGTGGTTTCAAACTCTGTAACAGCCTTGAAATTCATCATGCAATCCTTGGCTTCACCAGTGACATGAAAGCTAAGGAGTGGCTGTTGTTGACTTGGGTGTGTAGAAATTAATTCAGAGAGCTGGGCGTGGTGGTAGGAGTCTAAGGGATTGCAAATTCCGTTCCAATTCCTAGATTACAACGCAAGTTCAAATAAAGAAATGTAAATATCTATTTTCCAATAGTCTTAGGCTATCCCTGTGAAAGCGTCATTTGACCCCGTCAAAGGATTGCGACCCACAGGATGAGAAACTCTTCTCGTGAGCAGGGCTTGCATTTCCTCTTCTCCGCCTCTGTCCAGCCTGCTACCTTTCTTCAGTCTCGGCTCGGCACCCTCTCCCCGCTTCTACACACAGCCTGCAACAGGCCTGGACACCGAGAGGCGTTCGCACATGTCATTTGGTCACTGACTTCTCATGTTCTTTAAAAGAGAGACAGAGAGAGACACACACACAGAGACAGAGACACAGAGACAGAGAGACAGAGACAGACAGAGAGAGGAAAAACATCTTTTATTCAATCAACTAACGACTTTAACCAAAGAAGATTCCGTTAGTCTTTTGCAGAGGAATGTTCTTAGACGTGTTGGCGGTTTCCTTTCTTCCAAAATGAGCTGTAAGTTTGGCCTGAGGGAGACACCTACTGGCGTCTTCCGGTAAGGAACCGCACCCGAGCTGCAGCCAATCAGAGGCAGCCTTTCGAAGCGGTTCAGCCAATGGCGCGGCAGATTCGGAGCTCCCGCGGCCCTGGCTCCGGAAGCAGGAAGCACGTGCGGCCGCGGGCGGCCGGCTGTCTCCGCGCCAAAGGAAGTGTGTCTGCCGCATTGCTAACCATGGAAGAAGGTTGAGCCTGATGTCCCCGTGTCGGAGCTGAGCGTTATAAATGGGTGGCAGGAGGTGAGTGAGGAAATGACAGCTGAGCTGCGGGGGTGAGGGACCTGCCTGGACACGGGACGCTCCGCTGAGGAGCGGAGGGGAACGCACTGTGCGGACCTGAGGAGCTCCGGAAAGCACAGCCGGGCGCAGAGATCTGTCATTCTAAGGATATGGTCAGAACCGAAAGGAGCAAAAAGAGCTGACATTTCTCCTAATCATCTGCTGTAAAGTACCCTAACAGGTTCTAAAAAAGCTGTCTTAAGTCAACATCTGTTGTAAAATATTTTTAAGATCATTTATTATATTCTAAATTATTGGGTGGGGGTGGGGTGGATGTCAGAGGATCTGTAGTGCAGTCGTTGCCCAAGAATGGACATCTGTATGTAAAGGCCTCAGGTACTAAACTTGACACCTTTCCTGAAGACCCTTGCTGTATTTTTATTTTTTAAAGTGTAAATTGCTTTGACAAGTTGCTCCTAAACAATTAACCCCTTGCCCCCCTTTTTTGTTTGTGTGTTTAATTGTTTTGTTTTTCAAGACAAGGTTTCTCTGTGCAGCCCTGGCTGTCCTAGAATTCACTTTATGGACCTGGTGGACCTTAAACACAGAGGTCCGCCTGCCTCTACCTCTGCTTCCCAGTGCTGAGATTAAAGGCTGTGTGTTTGACTTTTGAGTAATACATTAGCTTGCTCAATTATGGCTTGTCTTTGGGTATTTAGGAAATGCCATGAGAGATGTAAACTTTGTTTTGTTTGTTTTGAAACAGGATCTCTCGGGAGCCCTGGCTGGCTTGTAGCTTTCTGTGTAGACCAGGGAGTCCTCGGACTCAGAGACCCTCCTGCCTCTGCCTCTGCCTGTCCAGTGCAGGGATCTGCTAAGGCTTGACCTACTACCCTTGGAAGAGACATGAACTCTTTTTTTTTTTTTTTTTTTTGGTTTTTTCGAGACAGGGTTTCTCTGTGTAGCTTTGCGCCTTTCCTGGAACTCACTTGGTAGCCCAGGCTGGCCTCGAACTCACAAAGATCCGCCTGCCTCTGCCTCCCAAGTGCTGGGATTAAAGGCGTGGGCCACCACGCCCGGCTGAGACATGAACTCTTTAAAGTTGACAAAAAGAGATGGAAAGTTTTAGAAACATAAGAAGGACCATTGTCTGTTTTAAGATCCTCATAATAGAGAAAGCAGTAAATAAGTGTCAGCACACACTTCGAACAGACTCATGCATATGAGCAGTATCAAGAATAAAACCTGAAAAGTTAACAAAAGAAACAGATTTCATTAACTTTTTACATACATTCACTAATATATGAGAATATCTGTGAAGTGGAGTTGTGAATTGCCATCATGTGGTGCTGGGAATTGAACCCTGCTCAACTGGGCTCCTTTGGAAGGAATGCCAGTGCTCTTAACCACTGAACCATCTCTCCAGCTCCTGTTATCAAAGTTTAAATGGCCAGAGGAGATTTAGTTTTCTATGAGACTGTGTCTATGGTGGTTTTGTTCGTGTAAAGATTTAGTAGTTAGTACTGATAACTCTTACCGAGAATAGATTCATAACCTAAGAGAAGTCCCCGATTTGAGTAGAGGTTCAATGTCAGTGTGTTAAACTTCGGACTTTGAAACCTACTATCATATATATGTCGTCTGAGTCTTATCATTCAGATACCTTCAATCATTTACTCAGAACCTCACAACTTGCGTGAACTTCCTCCCTTTCCTTTCCATCTGCACAGACCCTTCGTTACTAAAACTCTTTGCATCTTTATATCCATTAAACATTTTATTTTATTATTTGCTGTTTTTCCTTAATACCAGGAGACATAGGTGCTTGATTATTGAGAGCAGTCATTAAGAAGGCAAATCTTTTCTTTTTTTTTTTTTGGTTTTTTTTTCGAGACAGGGTTTCTCTGTGTAGCTTTGCGCCTTTCCTGGAGCTCACTTGGTAGCCCAGGCTGGCCTCGAACTCACAAAGATCCGCCTGCCTCTGCCTCCCGAGTGCTGGGATTAAAGGCGTGCGCCACCACGCCCGGCCGAAGGCAAATCTTTTCATTACTATCCCTTTAAAGGTGCAGGAAGGAGGCATTTTTTAGGTCAGAAATAATAGCTTGGCAGCTTTGAGTTTGTTTTCCCATTGAAAGCTGTTTGTGTTTACTTATCCCGGTAGGAAGCCTGTTAGCTCTAGGAAAAGGCAAGGCCCGATTTTCACATAGAAACACTCAAAGGCCTAGTCAGAATTATATCCTCATAAGTCAATTAAAGAAATTAGGTGGTAGCAATCTCTTTACCATCTGCCTTTTTATAGCTTCTTGTAGAAGATTCACAAAGTCCATAAACGTCTTCTTGTAGGTTTTTGTCTGTCAGTTGAAGAAGACCCCAAGTTGTCTTAAGGTAAAAGATATTTATTCATTTATTTACGTGCTTATTTTAAGCCCTTTGTCAGAGCCTGTGAACCTGTTGAGAGGCTCCACTGATCTGTTTATTAACCAGTTGAGGACTGGAGAGTAATTGAGCCTCACTTTTGAAGTTTTCTTATTTAACAGACTCAGTGAATGGAACTTTTCTTTAAAGTTCTCAACTGTGAATCATCAGGGAGCATTGTATCTACCAGTGTATGCAAATGTACTGCAAAGACAGAATGTTTTTTAAGGTGGGAGCAGATGTTTTAACTGTGAATGGACTGGTCAGGCATCCTTAGGGGAGGAGCTGATGGAGGCCTGCATGCTGCTATAGCAGGAGCTGGCAGAGCCTCCGAATTGTGTGATAAACATAGGACATGGGAGAGGGAGGCCCCATAACAGTTGTGCATACATGGTGTGCCCAAAGATGAACATTTACAAGCTTGAGTTGATGATGACTTACTTTTAACTTCTTTAAGTAAAGTTCTTTTTTTTTTGTTTTTGTTTTTCGAGACAGGGTTTCTCTGTGTAGCTTTGCGCCTTTCCTGGAACTCACTTGGTAGCCCAGCTGGCCTTGAACTCACAGAGATCTGCCTGGCTCTGCCTCCCGAGTGCTGGGATTAAAGGCGTGCACCACCACCGCCCGGCTTAAGTAAAGTTCTTAACCGTTGTGCATGCGTATGAGCATTAAAATCCATTCTCTTCTTGAGGGATGGAGTTTTTTAAGTCTGACAAGTTTTTCTCACCTAATTTAGTGTTGTTCTGTTTGAAGAGAAATAGGATAGTTGATTTGTCCATAATTGTTGTGTAACATGTACTAATCCAACCTTGAATTTGTTGATCCAGCCCATCACAGGGGGCCTGCTGGTGGGAGACAAAAGCCTACATGGCCTGAGTTTTAAGCTGCCAGGCTTTTGTCTCAGAACTGGAGGGTGAGGAAGAAGCTAACCATCTTAGAAGTTTGACACCTTTATTACCTAGCTTGCCTCTGCCAGATTAATGCTGGGATTAAGGGTGTACACCACGATGCTTGGCTATTTTTCTTTTTATGTAAATGAATGTCTGCCTTCATGTGTGTCTGTGTACCCCATGCATGCAGCACCCACAGAGGCCAGAAGGAGATGTTGGAGACCCTGAGATTGGAGTTACAGATAGTGGTGAGCCACCATGTAATTGCTAGCAATTAAACCTGGGTCCTCTGCAAGAGTCATCAGTGTTCTCAGCTGCTGAGCCATCTCTCCAGTCCCCCAAGGCTGAATCTGGATAAAAGGAAATGACAAACTATTGCATTTGAAAGACACCCCCCCCCCTTTTTTTGTGCATCTCACAGATCACAGCTTTTTCTCCCCTTGTGTCTGTCTTAGTAATTAGTGCCCCATCTCTTCTTACATGAATCCTTGACTACACTTAGGGAACTGAACAGGCAGGTGTTGATAAGAATTGACCTGAACTGAAAATCCTTCTGGAGAAGGAGGCACGAAGATTCCAGATGCAAATCACCAGAGCTCTTTAGTTTGTAAGGCACAGCTAGAGGACTGTGGGGACTTAAGTACCTCCTGACCATTCCATTCACCCCCTAGGCTGAAGCTCCTGGCAGATTCCTATGGGTACCTTGCTGCTCAGAAAGATGTGGGTGGCAGTTCTCCAAAACCCCCGCCTTGGGTGTCTCTTCGCCCTCATGGTCCTGCAGCTGCCCAAGCTGAATACAGGTAAATCTCTCTTCTCTCCTCACACCCCATCCTGGCTGCTGGGTGGAGCTGTTTCTACCAGTGCAGAGGGCTGCAGCGCTCCTTCCTACCCATCCAGACTGGGATCCAGTGGGTCCATGGGAAGGGAATAAGAGGAGTTTGGAAGGGATTGCTTTGGGTTTCCTGTCAATCAGGTCTATCCTATCTCCATACCCTTCCTGATCCTGCTTGGTTCTTTGCAGGTCACTTTGAGGTCCTCGGGCCCTCGCAGCCCATCCTTGCCTTAGTAGGTGAAGACTCAGAGCTGCCTTGTCACCTCTCACCCAGTGTGAGTGCGGAGCAGATGGAGCTGCGCTGGTTCCGGAATACATTCTCGCCTGCGGTGTTGGTCTACCATGAAGGCCGAGAGCTGAAGGAAGAGCAGATGCCTGAGTACCGAGGGCGGGCGATGCTAGTGCAGGACAACATCACTTTGGGGCAGGTTGCTCTGAAGATACAGCAGGTCAGGACCTCTGATGAAGGGGTGTATGGGTGCTCCTTTAGAGATAAACAAGCTCATGGAGAAGCCTTCGTCTCTCTGAAAGTAGCTGGTGAGTAGACAGGTTTTGACTTCAGTGACGCAATGATGTGGATGGATATGGCTTTAAAGTGTGAGCATAACAATTATGAGCCTCACAAGTGAGAAAAAAAAAATCTGATGCTGTAGTTTCTGCCCTTTAACTCCTGATTCTCTTGACTCCACCTCCAAGGTTCTGGGCTAACAGACATGTGCCACCACATCTGGCTTCAAACATGCTTCTGTTTAAAAAAAAAAAAACATCCTGGTGAAATCTAGTTCTCAGCCCATAACAGTGAACCCTCTGCACCATCAGCTTATGTGGTCCACCGGCTTTTATGTATGTAGAGAAGAAGCACGATCTTGGCTATTCCATCTAAAAGTGTAGCCTGGGCATGGTGGCACATACCTTTAATCTCAGCACTCGGGAGGCAGAGGCAGGCAGATCTCTGTGAATTTGAGGCCAGGCTGGTCTACAGAGATTTCCGGACAGCTAGGGCTATTATACAGAGAAACCCTGTCTCAAGAAAACAAAAATAAATAAATTAAATAAATAAGCAAATAAACAAATGTCCAGAGACATTTATTATTAAATTATTAGAGACATTATTAAAACTACAGTGGCTCATGTATAAGTTCAACATCCAATTTAAAAAATACTAAAACCTCTTGGCATTTTGACATGAAATATTCATTCTCACATAGATTCATAGATTTGGGCAACTGTGGTTCTTTGGGGTCAGACTATAAAATGTTTCTATGCCCTGTAGAGCTATAAGGGAAGAATCCAGCAGAAGAGGAAAACGGGAGGCGTCTCAGTAGTCATTTGAATGTGAGGTACAGGCTGAGATTGCAGTCCTTAAAGAGGTCCCTGACAGCATTGCAGCTGTCATAGAAACACTGCGGTCCTCCACCTGACTGTCTCCATGGAAACAGTCTTCTGTCCAGTCCTGCCTGTCCACGGGGAGCCGGCTGTGTCTGCTCCTCTCCTAGACCTCTCTTCCAAGAAGAGGGCTCCACTGTCACTGCTGGGGCTTCCAGACGCAGCTGGATCTTGGCCACCTGTGGGAGCCCATTCTGGGGTTCCTCGTGGCTTTACCCAGCAGGTCCGAATAGAGGATGATCAGGACCACGGGCCTGAGTGCAGGTGTCTGAGATGGTCTGCACTTGGCTGTGCTGGGGGAGGAGGTCTTTTGCTCCACCCCTTGGCGTCTCTATAAA